TGAAGTAATGGCTGTGTAAGGTATCTGCCTTTTTTCTTTAGAGGGACATAGATCTGACAGTCATCAGCATAAAAGTGGAAAGCAATGCCGTGCTTTCTCAGTACAGAACCAAGAGGAAGCAGATATAAAGAGAAGAGGAGGGGGCCTAGAACTGAGCCCTGTGGGACACCACACAAGAGGGGAGCGGAAGACGACACATAGTCACCAAGACTGACACAAAAAGTTCGCCCCGCAAGTAGGACCTGAACCACTCCAGTGCTGTGCCCCTAATGCCCACCCAGTGCTCCAAACGAGAGAATAAAATGGCATGATCCACGGTATCAAACGCAGCTGTCAAATCTAAAAGCACAAGAACAACACAGTCCCCAGCATCAGTCGCTAAAAATATGTCATTAAAAACTTTTAAAAGGGCTGATTCAGTGCTATGAAAGGGTTTAAAACCAGACTGGAAAACCTCTAAAACATTTTGCTTTTCCAGGAAGGCCATTATTTGGCTGTAAACTACCTTTTCAAGAATTTTGGAAAGAAAAGGTAGTTTGGAGATAGGCCTGTAATTTGCAAGAACCGTAGGATCAAGAGCAGGTTTTTTAATCAGGGGTTTGACTACTGCATGTTTAAAATCTGGTATAAAGCTGGTATAATCACATTTCCTCAGGGACTTAAAGACCAGATTAGGTATTGCATAGAAAAGCAAGATCAGTTTGAAAGGTGAGCAATTCAAGCAGAAATACTAACTGATATTCACTGAGAACTATTCAAGTACTTTAAAAACACTTTTCCAACCCCCATCAACACCTGACTTCGCTGTCACACAGTTACTGTAAACTTTTGCAGTTAGCACTAGAGCGCGTTTTCTTTGAGAAAACAGAACAAAACCGAGAGGTTTTCGAAGAAAAGTGAAAAGTTCTGCATTTGTCAAGCAGCTGACTTGAACAAGCAACCAAGCATGCACTACAATCAGAAGAACTGCAGTAAAGGCCAATCACCCATGCTCTAGCTGTAGGCTTCAGGCAGTCAAACAAACAATCAAAAATAAACATTTTTATTATCATGCTAGCCCAATTATATTTGAGCCTCTGGAAACGAGGATTGCATAAAAAGCGTGTCATTTCTAATCTTTCTAATCGTTCTTTGACACACCTCTGACTTGATTTGTCAGTGCTGCAGCTTCTATATATTTCTCGCGGGTTTTGGTCAAAAGAGAGAAATTACCAGGCAAAGCCGATTTTCACCATAGGGTTCTTGGCTTTTCTCTTAGGGATGTATTCAGGACCCTCTGGTTCCTCTACCTCCTCCTGGGCTCTGCCTCTGTCGGTATTCTGGGTCTGCTCGCTCCTCTGCGTCTCCATCCTGGAGCAGGCAGCAGGGGAGACGTGCAGCCGCAGGCTCGGACACACGGCCCGGCTTTGACTGCTCTGTCTGAGCACCCACCGGCCGGAGAAAAGGTACATACCTGTTGACACAAATTACACCAGTACTTTAAAAATCTTACTTCATTTGCGACCACGTCGATATGAAGTCTTTTAAAGTGCTAAACTAAAGCATATAAAAGGTTATTTACAAAAATAACTATAACTATATTAAAATAAACAACTTATCGCCGCCGAGAAAAAAAATATAATTCCCTTAATTGTGACCTTTTTTATAACGAATAAAGCCAATAATTAAACCTTTCAGTGTTGTCCGGACTGTATTCACTGTGGACGCCGCCATGTTTGTTGCGTAATTGAAACGGACATGCGCAGTCGCAACAACGGGAGCTGCCGCCACCTAGTGGTACTCATTTAGATTTTGTATTATTTTAATGCCGCAGGCAACACAAAGACACATGAAGCAAATTTGTGTTTTTCAACATTTTATTCATTGTTCCAACATTTCATTCACAAAATCATAATTATAATACAAAAACACTTTAAACCATGGACGTAAACCATGCTGTATGCTTATAATATACAGTTATTCAAAGTCAACAATAAACTAAGTCAAAGAGAAGTGAATAAACAGCTGGAGAAGAGGCCAGTATATTTACATCTGTTTTTGTTTTGTTTTATCTTTTTAAATCTAAAGAATATTTAGATAAATCCTCGTATCTTTGTACAGCAGCGAAACATCTCCAATGCCACCATTATGAGCATTAAACACACTATGAACAATAACTCTTGTTTGCCACAAAGAAGCAGGGATCAATTTGAGGACAGGAGTTTAGTCTTCCAGGATGTAGTTGGGGTTTACAACCAGAACAGATTCCTCTTCTGTGCTCGCAGACTCTGAGCCCTTCAGCCCAGCCTGAGACAGCTGGATGAGGATGTGATCCTTGAGGAAGAGATTTGTGTGGGAGATCGTATAAATGAACATGTCTGCACTTAGAGAATCGCTGACTCATTATCTTTTCACATTTTAAGATGGTAGACTTACATAGTGCACCAGCCTGTGGATGACCTTCTCTATCAGCCCCTTCCTATTGATGAGCTCCTCCTCAGAGTCGATCTCTGACTCGATCTCCTTCAGATACCAGTTGACCACTGCACTTTTCTTCAGATCCTCCTCTTCCTCAGCTGCAACACAGATTAGCAAGAAAAATGTGAGAAGAAAAAGAAAAAGAACAGTGACAGAACAGACAAGGAAATGAGGTGGAAAACAGACTGGAGGGAGGAACATCTCTCACCATCCTCTGCTCTGCGCAGATGCAGGACGAGCAGGTTGGAGATGCGTTTGTACTCGGCGAAAGACAGACGAAGAGATGGTTTGGACTGGCTCCCAGGCTCGCCGTGGCCATTGACACCGTCAGCGTGTCCATTAATTCCATTAGTAAGGCCAATGACACCATCCACGTTTCCATTTACTCCATTCGGGACGTTACCTGCAAAGATGCAGAGAAGAGTTTACGTTAAATAAACAGCGGTGATGCACGGTGTCATTTCACATCTTCTCTATATTGATAGTACCTTCTTCCTGCTGCTCCTCCTCTTCCTCCACTTCATCCTCCTGTTCCAGGTTGATGTCTGGCGTCTCCACTCTGATGATAGATTTGTTCAGAAGACGGAACGCTTCCTTCACGTGTTTGGGCTGAACCTAGAAGCATGGGATGAAAGGGCAAGAGTTAATTCACAGTTTGGCCTTTTATTTTGAAAGGATGTCTTTTTGTTCCCCTCATTTTGGTTGAAGTGATACTCAGGGTGGTTTTGCAGTATTAAATTTTATCAACCACACTCAGTATCGAGTGTTGCATGAATGAAGCTTGTGTGTCTTCGCACGTACCTCATCACAACAGTGCATACGTGCCATGGCCTCTGAGAGGCGGATCATGCTCTCCAGCTGTCGCACAGTTATCCTCCAGGCAGATTTGGACACGCCCCCTGAGCCGTCACGCTGGCGGAGACGCTTGTACTGCTCGACGATGAACTCTTCTGATTCGCTGGAAATCTACGGAGGTCCAAAAGTTAATAGAAAGGAAATGTGTTAAACAGTAAAAACTGGGTCGCTGGTGTCGGCGTGTGGGGACACCAGCACACCCACCTTGGGTTTGAACTGCCTGGCGAAGAGCAGGTATCTGCGGATCTCATCCAGGGAGTACAGTCTGTCCACCGACTCCTCCACACGGGAGTGCAGATCCACGATGCGTCTGGCGATAGCGTAGTCCGTCACCTATGACAGGTGCAAATCGTTAGCTGCAGTATTCAACTAAATTACCATATTAAAAAAAAAATGGACAAAATAAAAGACATGAATAGAAACAACCAGTAAGCACAGGATGCTCAGACTACGCTCATTTCCATGTACCTCATTGCACTCGTCCACCAGGATGAAGAAGAGATCAAAGCGGCTCATAATGGGAGCGGTCAGGTTGACGTTCTGCTTCAGACTCTTGCTGCGGTCGTAGCGTCCGCTGACAGGGTTAGCAGCAGCCAGGATGGATGTGCGAGCGTTCAGGGTAGCCTGAGGAGAGAAGCGGAGGAACAGTCTGGTTATTCTACTGCAGAGACGAACGATCGAATATGATAGCAGTGTAACTTCCGCTTGTGCTGCATAAACGCGAGTGTTTAAAGCATAAAGCTTTGAAAGCGTCACCTTGACTCCAGCTTTGGTGATGCTGATGGTCTGCTGCTCCATGGCTTCATGGATGGCCACCTGGTCTTTGAGGTCCATCTTATCAAACTCATCAATACAGCAAACACCCTGAAATCAAACCAGTTAACAAGTTTTACTTGCACTAATTACATAAAGAAACTTTTTTTTTTTTTAATATAACAATACACTGTTCACTGTTCTTCAGAACTCATGACACTCACATTGTCGGCGAGCATCAGAGCTCCAGCCTCGATGACAAACTCATGTGACTCCTCGTCTCGGACCACGGCCGCCGTCAGACCTGCAGCAGTGCTGGCCTTGCCGCTGGTGTACACCGCTCTGGGACTGAACTCCTCCACGTGCCTACACAGGCACACACACACACTCAAATCAACACTGCTGTACAACAAATGTCTACAGCAAAGAGAGCACTGAAAAGTGTTTGTGCCAGAAGATGGAACAAAGAAAAGCTTTATGCAAAGCTAATCAGTGAAGGTGGAAACTGTAGAACGTACTTGAGGAACTGGCTCTTGGCAGTGCTCGGATCTCCCACAATGCACACGTTGATGTCTCCTCTGAGCGAGGTCCTTTCCATGGTCGTCTTGGGAACGCCTCCAAAGAGCATCAGCAGGATGCCGCGCTTCACCTCATCGTTACCTGCACCATCACGTTAACGTTTAACTCACAAGTCACAGCTTTGATAAAGAACTACGAGAGCGTCCTCCATTGGAGAAAAAGGCTAGACGGGGGGGTTCGATCACTGACCGTGGATGGTGGGGAAGAGGCTGGTGCACAGGTTGTGGTACAGGTTCTTGTCCTGGCTCATCTCAAAAACCTTCTCCCACTCTTTCTCTGTCATTTGGCTCTTAATGCTTTCAGCCGTCTGCTCCTCCTCCCGCAGCTCTTTACCGCCAAACTGTGATAAAGACGGCACACATTTGTAATCACACAGAAAGATTTGTAGCCGTTTGCATTTTTAGACACATGGGCGAGCGCTTCTTACCCGTGGGTTGGTTGGCGCCACGTTGCAGGCCAGGAAGGCCAGCCTGTATGACAGCTCTCTGACTCCCAGAGCTTTCAGTCCTCTCAGACCATCAGACTCAAAGCCCTGAGGACCTCCTGCTATACGGGTACTGGTCTCTGCTCGCACACCTGGAAGTAACATCCATACAGTAATGAGAACCAAAACAAAACACCACAAGACATAGTTTTGACCATAAATGGTTAAAATTTTAAAAAGTACCAGGTGTGCTGAGCTGTGAGACATCCGGCACGACAATCAGGGTCCCAGTGAAGTCACAGCGGTCTCCAGCCTGAGCCGTCTCCACAGCCTCTGCCCTCAGGATGATCTCAAGAGAGCGTGGGATCGAACCACGAGGCAGCTCCGCCTGCGTCTCCTGGATACGCACCTGGATACACAAACAGGGTACACAGGGTCAAAATCAGACTCATTCATCCATGCAGACAGACATCCTTTATCACAGTTACCTTCTGAAAGTCGATGAACTTGGATTTGTGTGTGTCGAGGTGGAAGCGGGAGCGGTTGTTGCACACGGGGTTCCTGCAGATGGTCGGAGGAGAGTATTTGAACTGCTGAGAGACATCTTTGATCACTGCCTGGCAGTCCATGCACAGGAAGGTACCGCTCACCTGCACCAAAGGAAGCAGGATGGGTTTAATGACAAAAGACAAGCGTACCGCAACTGAACTTTGTATGTCTTCTTCACTGATATAAACATCTCACCAGCTCAGGATGGACTGGGTGCGTTCTCACCACCTGACCGCTGATTCTCACCAGGCTGCCAATACGCATGGAGGACAACTCACGGATCCTATTTATTTATTTAACACAGGAAAAGGATCAGATTTGGCATTTCATTCCCGTTAACATTTACCAGTGAGAGATGCCTCATTCCTGCTTCATGCACCACAACTTAAACACCATTTTGTTCCAATTGATTCAAGCCAAGCGGACATTTCTACAACTATCTTTGCACTAAAGCAATCTAGCTGCATAAAGGGCAGCTCAGACCAGATAAATGGAGATTTACATGGTGGTTTGGTTAACAGTGCCTTACTTGTGTCTGGTGGGCAGCTCCTCGATAGCGACGTAGAACTCTTTGTTGAGGGGGACGTTCCCGTGATCCCGAGCAAAGTTGCGCACTGCTCTGCAGAGGTAGGGATACACTCTGGAAACAGACAATCCTTCAGGTTACCCCACAGCTTATTTCCACAGCACTGAACTGATGGTTTGAAATGCAGCAGCGCACTCTCCCACCTCAGTATTTAGATGAGATATGATGGAAGCACCTATGACTTGGTGGGCTTGCTCACCTGTAGTACTCCTCCTGGATGGTGGTAGCCAGTTCCTGGTTGAAACCCTCCAAGTCGGTGAAGCTCACCAGTAGGGTGTTCCTCTCAGGCCTGATCAGCTCCTCGGCCTCCCGGACATACTTCACCTCCCCATCCCCGCTCTGAAATCTGCAGGGTGACGCAGGAATCGGGCGAGAGTTAAGAAAAGCAGTGAAAAGACACCAATAGCAGCCGATCAAAGTAGCACTCGATCCTTATAATTGCTGATTAAAAGAGCGATGTCAAGCCAAGCACGTTTCGGCCGACAACAATACGACCCCGTCGCTGCTGCCTCACTTACTCCTCTAAGAAAGCCTGGAATAACTTCTGGCACTTCTCGGCCAGCTCGTCCTTCACCATCGCCCCGGCAGTCTCCGCGGTGGCTGTGGCGACATCCATGCTGCAAGTCCGTCAAACTGCGACAACAAAAAGATACAAAAACAAGTTTGCAAAACAGACACGAGCTGCTCCTCTCTGACACACAGCACGCTCAGCTCCGGACAACAGAGAGCCCGGTTTCGCGCGAAAAGCGAGACCACGTGATGTTTGGCGCGCCGCTTTCGACCAATGTGCGACGTTATGGAAATATCTCTGAGCTCGTAGCCAATTCGAAGCGGAAACGTAAATCGACGCGGGGTCCTGCTGCCCGTTTTCCCGCGGTACGCTTCCTGTGCTAACCAATAGCAGCTGTAGACGGGGAGAGACCGAGCTGTTATCTCAGTGTGCGCGTGTCTTTGACGAGCACGTGCGTTAAACAGATAGGCTATAAATGAAGAATGAGCTGACTGTCAGCGTCACAGTGAACTTAGCACTTGAGCCATTTCCGGCCAAAATATTTAGGCAATTTAAAAGTATGTCGTCATAATTATCATCATCATCATCTTCTTCTTCCTTCTTTCTTCCTCATTGGATCATCCAGCTTCATCTATGAATCGTCTGTTTTCCTTCTGCTTGCCTCCTCCATACTTAGCATCCTTTGCCCAGTATATCTGCTCTCCCTCCTCTGCACATGTGCAAAATATCCCAGTCTTGCCTCTCTTACTTTGTCTCCAAACCGATCAACCCGCCCTGCCTCTCTGATATACTCATTCCTGATCGTGTCCATTCTGGTCACTCCCAGTGAAAATCCCAACTTCCAGCTCAAACTGTCCCAGTGTAACCTGCAAACTTGATATTCCATGGAAACTCCTGCCTGACCTCATCAAAACAAGAGGGGGATCAGAGCCAATCCCGGATGTAATCTCACCCCCACCTTGAACACATCTGTCACTCTCACCCCTCTCTTGCTGTCCTGATACATGTCTTGCACCACCCTCACATATTTCTCTGCCACAACCTCATGCTGTACCACGGTATCTCTCTCACCACCCTATCAAATGCTTTCTCTAGACCCATGTAGTCACAGTGCAACTCCTTTTGACCTTCTCTGCACTTCTCCATGAACACTCTCCAAGAAAACATCACATCTGTAGTGCTATGAAACCATAGTCCTGCTCACTATCACATTTCTCCTCTTAACATAGTTTCAGCAACTCTCCCTCTGTAGTTACAACAGCTCTGCATATCACCACTGTTCTTGAAAACTGGTGCTAGTATTCTTCTTCTCCATTCCTCAGGCATCTTGCTTTCCAGAATTGTGTTAAACAATCTTGTTAATGCACCCACTGCCCTTTCTCCTAGTCATCCCCATACCTCCACAGGTATGTCCACTCACCCTTCTTCATAGCTACGTTCACTCCTTCCTTACTAATCCTCTGCACTTTCCTCTCATTTCCTCATCAGCCCCTCAAAGTACTCCTTCCACCTTATCAGGACATTTTCTTCACTCGCTAATACATTTCCATCTCTATCTTTAACCACTGTAACCTGTTGCAAATCTTTCCCAGCGCAATCTCTCTGCCAAGCCAACATGTTTTTTCCCCCCTCCTTTCCTAGTACAACTCACTGTAAGCCTTTTCCTTTGAGTAGAAGCTACTCCCAGCCGCTCCCTTATTTTTAATTTTGCAGTTTTACAATGGATGCTAAACACCAAAAGGGGATTTGAGTTTGAGTAAATGTACTTTGATTTAAAAACCGAAAGCATTTTACTGCTGCACATCTGCGGTGAAGCTGTTTTAACTGCTTTATACAAGCCTACATGTCATTTGTCTCTTCCACTAGTGGTTTCCATCCAAAGAAACAAGCTGCTCCAGAGGTCACCAGCTAGAAGTGAGAATTTGTTAGATGGGAATAAAAGACTGAATTAAAAAAAAAATATTCCCAGATCAACTTATTTGATGCAGTAACGAATGTTTTTCTGTGTTTGTGCCTCAAAGGTTTAGATGAAAAACTCATCGCACAGCCTCACACATTGTGTTGTAAGCATTTGTGTGTTTTGCAGTAAATATTATTTTGTAAAGTACTGCTCATGTTTGTGAGGTGAAGGGAGTAAAGTTACAAGTATATCGTCAAAACTGTGCACAAGGACACAAGTAATTGGATTCAACTTGTAAATGTACCACGTGACCACTGGGGGGCAGTGAACACTCACGTTTCTGCATATTTTTATTTTACATGTCAGCTCAGCCAGTGTCAGCGCCTACTAGGTATCTATGTGTTGCAGGGGTGATGCTATCCATGATATGGTGCAGGTCTATATTGCATCATTTCTAAAAGGAAAGTAGTACTACAGTCACTACAGACAGTAAAATAATACAATTTTTCCAAAATTGTTTTTCTTATTTATAGTTTTGCACGGGGACTAGAAAGATACAACTTCAGCTGAATGGTTAATTTTGCACTATGTGTCTGTGTATACTTGTTCCACTCTATTGTTGTAGTTCTGTTAAAACAGTGCAGCTATGGGACAGCAGGCATTGGTGGAAGGTTGGAGTACAAGTTTGTAAGTAAAGGTGCTGTTAATAAAGTTACAACAGTAAAATGAGAAACCACCGACGGATCATGTCCATGTTGTAGAGAGCATTACAGTCCCTGCTTCTTTGTTTTATCACGGTGGCTCCTCGAGACTGGAAAGAACAGCTATTGTGACCTTGTATTCACATCAGTCACAGCAGAATTAAAAAAGTAGAAAAAAGTCGACCAAATGAACCCAACACCAAACAGGCACACCTGAGGAGTCCCCACAGACAGTCATCTTGACCCGTGACGTTTTCTCATTTTAATTTCTTTAGACAGTGGGGACAACCAGAGGGTTTTCTGAAAGAAAAACTCACTGAAATGCAGCTTTTATATATATATATATATATATAAGTCTAAATG